ATTCTCAAACACCTGCAATCTGTGTTCCTCCCTCTGAGTGAGAGACCATGTTTCGCACCCATACAAAACAGGCAAAATTATTGTTTTGTATACTTTAATTTTCAGGTTCTTAGAAATCAGACGGGAAGACAAAATATTTTGAACTGAGACTTTTAAACAAAGACAATGAAATAAGTCAGATAGCACATAATTTTAAGTGTAATCTACCATCGTCAGAACCCTTTAGAATTGAACACTTTCAGCAGCTCAGCAGTGTCACATTTTTTATAGGATTTATTGTAAATCTTTAAATAACAATTTTGCCCTGTATTCTAGTGACCACACATGAATATACTACTGCAGGTGCGAACAGTACTAGTAGAAGCTGTGATGAGAATGCTTGAAGAAGGGTTTTGGGTCAATGAATGCATAATTCATAATTGTCACAGGCAGTTGAAATTGTAGAAAAAATTACATCTGACTGGCTTTGCCACACATTTAAAAAGAATATCTGAAAGCAAACTAGGTAGGAAATTAAGTCAGCAGACCTGCAAATAGATAGTTTGTGCATGTCAAATATTTAGGTATAAAATGTAGGCAAAATAAAAGACTACACAAAATTGGCTGAACTCAGAAGATTCTGACAAAGTTAACATATTCCAGTTGAGTCACCTGCATCAATTTCAGAACACAGTTATGTTTTACTCTCACTGCACCAGTGGCAATCTCAAATATCACATATCAACATTGATTTTTATAAAACGTAAAACATCTGTTATTTTGAACACAAAACTCAGTATCATTCACATCCAGGCAAGTGAACATTCCTCTTTATACAGGTGACAATCAAGTTGAGAACTGAGTGATGACAATTAACATTCGTGTCCTTACTTACTGAATTATCTTTGTAGTAATAAATTAATAATATAATACCATGTAATCCAGTATACAGAGTATCACAGAAGTAAATGTAGCTCTAGTGATATTTGGAAGAACAGCAGATAGCTGGGCTCAATCCAGTGCAACTTTCTAGAACATAAATCAAGGTAATTACATGCTGCTAGAATCATGACACAGAATTTCAGTAGTGAAAATGAGAACTGTACAAAGAAACAACTTCTACAGTAAAATAAATATGTAATGAAGACATAGTAATAATTTTACAGCCAAAACAAATGTTTGCACACTAAAAAATACACAAAGAGATCTCAATTGTCTTCATAAACACTATGAAGCTGTATGGATGTTAAAAATCAAATCAATTGGTGTTAAGTGTTTTATCCTTCTCGAAGGTATCACCACCTTGTCGAAGGCAATCTGCCGGGTGAGGAGGCTTGCGTGCTCAAATGACCCTTAGGGCTATGCCGGCCTGAGCTTCGGCTCATGGTAGGGTCACCCAAGCCGGACAGGTCTAAGGAGATGCGCTAGACTAAGAGTGATACCCTGGTCCTCCAGGTTGGGGGTTGGGGGTAGGGCTAACAACCTTTCACCTTTAAAAAAAAAATAGGTGTTACGAAAAAATCAACCAAGCCTCGGATCAGGACGGACTCTTTGGCACGACCACGGCAATTGAAAAAGGACATGAGATTTGGTACTTGGAACATTAGGAGCCTCTATAGGGCTGGGGCACTGAAATCAGTG